CTAAATTTAAGTCTTGCTAACTCAAACTTTCAATTTAGTAGAACATACGTGGAATATTTAAGTAAAATCAAATACATAAGAACTTTAAGTAATTTCAGCTTGTATTAATTTAGTAATTTTAACTCAAAATCAGAAATTATACGTATTACTCAAACAATTTATGTTGATTATTCTTATCTTTTTAAAGTAAGGACCGATGCAGTGCGTAATAGAAATATTTACATAATTTATGAATATTCATTAAGACCAAATTAAACTCTTTTTTAAATAAAACAATTCTTTTTTGTGGTTGAATGAAAATTTAAGGACTTTAAAACATTTACTAATTCATTTAACATGGCTAAGCAAAGACAAGACAATTTTTAATTGTTACCCAGTTCAAAACAAATCAAAACTTGATATTTCAGGAAATTGTCAACCAATTTTCCTTTTAAGATGCTACGATCAAGTATATATAAAATTTGGAGCCTTTCAATATGTGTCGAATTGAAGCGTATGTAATAGTTTGTGATGGTGGTAGATATATATATACGGTTAAATCTTAAATAGAAGTAGTGTTAGTGATTAATCTTAAATAGAAGTAGTGAATGATTAGTGGATGTTACTTGTTAGATTAGATGGGTACCAAATCGTGCAATATGTTATCCTATCATAGCTTTTTTTTAATTATCTAAAATGATTACAATACTTAAATTATTTACGTTAATGTAACTCGATTTAACTGAGTAAAAATTTATTCAGCAAAATAAGTAAATTCTACTTAAGATGCCGTAGGTAATATTTACTTAATAAAAATAAGGCAATTCTTTTCCTCAATTTTATTGAGTTATTTCGACTATTATTTTGTTACAGTGTATGAACATGTTTAAGATGGTAAATTATGTCTGTCACTTGGAGCAGGTCTGATTTTACGTACCGGGTATTATTTGACCCATATCCTAATTTGACTATGAAAACACATTATATATCGGTTGCTAGGCATATTATTACCATAGCAACGGGAACTAAGCGATATTTATCATTAAAATATGATGAAAATGCATCATTTGACATCATACTTCCTATCACAGTAGTCATCTGCTTGGTGATAGCAATTTCTTGTGATATATTCTATTTTTCAGCCACTATGTTACCGTTGCTAAGGAGAAGATAGCCCTTAGCAACCAAATTTGCCATTTTGGCTCATAACAAGGTGTCAACTTTAGAGCGCTATAACTTTTTAGTTAGAAAAGTAATAGACTTGAAATTTGGATATGATATCAACCAGGGTACTGAACAGTTTTTAAGCAAGTTTCAAGTCAGTCAGCATCATAATCAAATAAATATGGAGAAATATGTATTTTGGCGCAATTCATATTTTTGAAAAAAATGGTAAAAATTCACATTTTTGGCTCAAAATTGGTATGCAAATCATCCCGAAACTTATTGAATGAGGTATCATCTTGTAGGAAATCTAATTCCCTTTCATATGATACCACACACAAGGTAAAATGAGGTTCTATTACAAAATTATCGTCAGATTGTTCAAAATGAGTTTTTCATGGCGGCCATTTTGAAAAAATGACCGCCATTTTTTGCCGGCAAAAAATTGTAAAGGTAGTCCACCTAGAAATTGTGCAGGGAGGTCCCCCAAACACGTTGAGACCATCCAACCTTTTACAACACGCCATGTCTCAAAACCCCCCATATGGGGGTTTTGCCCCCTAGGTATATTTAAATGGTAGACGCATAATAACTTCGATTAATAATACGCTGTCGTCAGAACTACCCCTTACACACGGGGTACCCCAGGGATCTATTCTCGGCCCCATACTATTTCTTATATTTATTAATGACATGCCCTCTTGTTTTGAAAAATGTTCGGTTCACCTTTATGCAGATGACACCGTTATATATTATTCAGATAAAGACCCTTGTAATATTGAAAATGTTTTGAATATTGAATTGCATAAGTTATATTCTTGGATGAATTGTAATAAGTTGAAAATAAATTGTACTAAGACTGTTAGTATGCTGATAGGCACTAAATATATGTTGAACAGACACAATAGGTTGAACTTAAAAATTAATGATAATGATATTGTTCAAGTTGACAAATTTAAATATATCTAGGTATTTTTATTGATTGTGAATTAAAATGGAATGTACACACTGATGAATTATGTAAAAAGGTTGGAAAAATGATTAGTTTCTTAGGAAGGTTGCGTAACTATGTTAATGAGACTGGGTTAAAACTTGTATATAATGCCGCAATAATGCGACATTTTGATTATGGTGACGTGTTATGGCATTCGGGCACTAAGTCTCAAGTAGACATGTTACAAAAATTACAGAACAGGGCAGGTAGAATTATTCTTAAATATAAATTATCTGAACATAAACCAATTAGTGAAATTCATAATATTTTAAATTTGGAAATGTTAGAAAATAGACAAGTTAGGCACAGTTATACTTTGATGTATAAAATATTTCACGATTTGGCACCTGTATATTTGAAAGAGAAGTTTATTGTTAAGACTACTAACTATGCCCTTAGAAGTACTAATTTAGTTTTGCCTAAACCGAAAACACAGAATTGTAAGCGTATGTTTCTGTATCGCGGAAGTAAATTGTATAATGGATTGTCTATGCACATTCGACAATCAAGAAGTTTGGCTATATTTAATAAAGAAATAAAAAGTTTAGTTTGAAATGTTATGACAGAGATAATATACACTGGAGGACTTGGGAAGGGGGTAGTGGGAGGGGTTGGCAGTATCGAGAGGGTGGGGGGGGGGTGGTGAGGTTAGGGGGAACGATAAGGGGGGGGGGTAGTGTATTGGTAAATTACTATGATTTTTATAAAAATTGATATTGTATGTAAATTAATATGATTTTTGCTTTTGGACCCCATGGAAGAACGGGACCATTTTGAAAATGGTTCTGAAATGGGCTATCCAACCGTTTGTCTATACTTTACACATTTACTTACTTTCTTATCGTTTGAAATGTGTTTTATATGTATGTTTTTTTTTAAACTTGTATGTATATATGGATTTCGGAAATAAAAACAAACAAACAAACAAACAAACAAATATGTCTTAGGAACACGAAAAGTCCGTTGGCCATGATGTATTGATGAACGTGAAAGTTTGTACCTTTTTGAAATACCCCCAGAGTAAAAACATTTCACGCTTTGATCTACCATGGGCATAAAAAATGTCAGAAACTTTATTCATTCGTATCCGCTCTTGGGAACCATTTTCCTATATAAAAACATAGGATGACTTGAATCAGACCTGCATACAATTATCTGTTATATTTGTCTTTTGTCGTTATTGTTTTGTGTTTATTTCTTGAAGATCATTTCCAGTTGTTCGTGAGAAGGGGATCGAGATATGAAACTTATGTCAGTAAAAACATTTCCCTGTAACAACCATTATTTTTTTCACAATATAAAGTCTTAAAATGTTGATGGCTTCATGGAACTTGTTTAAAATTAAATTTTCGTTCAGAACCTCCAAGCTTTGATGAAGCTAACATACTCGTCCAAGACATGACATCTCACTCGATCATCATAAGGTGGGCACCTTGGAATGGGAATTATGATCATGGTGATGGGCCAGTGATTGGATATCAAGTCTACTACAAAATACACGGACAGGGTGACATAGCCAGGGCTTCAAGAGATCTCATCATTGATACAACTTTCACCATCACTAATTTGACACGGGACACAGAGTATGAATTCAGAGTGACTGCTTCTAGAGAGGGGCCAGCAGGTGAAGGGACGTACAGCCCAGTAGAAAGAGCTAGGACAAAGTGTTCTGGTAAGAGCAGCAGACTATTATCATAACAACTAATATAGGGTGGATCATCAATATCATTTTGTCGGCCGCAGTCAGGACGGAGTTCACTCTTTGACGTCACTCGTTCTTTTCAGTCATGACCTTAATCACGTCTTCTAACTTAAGATTGAAATTACGGTCAAGTATATCATTGCAAATTATTGGTGGTTAAAGTAAGTTAAATGAGTTCAATTTATCTGTTGTCAATTTTTTTTACAAAGATGATGAAGACTAAAGCTGTTAACAAAACGTTTACCTAACAGGTTCCGCCATTTTCATTCCTCGAGCTGAAGAGTTATTAATAATAGCAAATATAGTGGCGACATTATCATTAGTAATGATAAATATGATAAAAGTGAGAGTATATTTTATTGAATATTATGATTACTTTTTCTCTCCTGACCATTAGAACATAAACAGTGATCCTTTGACGTTCCAAAAACCTATATTACATTGCGTTCTTTAAAAGTTTTCGATTGTTACATTTCCCGCTCTCAAATATGAGGCTGGTAAATATTGACTCACTGCAGTAAATTCACCCTAAAAGCAAAATATGTGTAGACATTACAATATTTACTTGACGTAAATATTGTATTGTTAGTTGTAATAACCACCAACTCAATTAAAACCAAAACAACTTAATTGTCATCATTTTTTTTTGTAATTCCCCTTTTCAGCACCTTCTGAGGCGCCTGTTCTGTCTGTCAGAAACAAAAGTCAAACAACTATCATTTTGGATTGGGAGGTGAGCTGAAATGATTTCATTGCATTTGATTTTCTTATTATTAACTATAAAGGGACACATTTCAGTTCAATTTACTTAATATCAATGATAACAAATCGCTTAGTTGGGAAATGAAAAAATTGGGTTTAAATTTTAAGTATGAGCGCTTATAAACGGACCCAATACTTTAATTTAAAATACAAAGAGAGACACATATTGCTAAAAGTCCACTCGAAGTATCATCAATGTTTTTTTACGTTAATTAGTTTGGATAAAGCGTTTCGTATGTTTACTCCGTATATATAAAAGATATAAGAAATCATCAATGAAGATTCGTCCAGATTTTATTCGAAAATTTAAGGTTTGACGGTGAATATGGCGAACTTAACGTTTGCAAATTAGTCAAATTGGTGCATTCTTCCCATTTTTCATATTCATATTAATAACAGGTAATACCAGAGGAATCATGGGAATGCAGTGCCCTGTCTGAATTAGAAATCAATGTTAGCACCGACGGACAAAATGGCTTTCCGCGAACCTTGTCATTTGATACTATGGCGGGTACTGCTAACATTGAACAGCTTGAGGATTGTTCTACGTATAACATCAACGCAGCATTTAGAAACAAAGACGAGTTGGGGATCTCTTCAGAAATATTGTCAGTGAGCACGTCTTTGATACGTAAGAATATTTTTATTCTCGTATATATATATATATATGTATATAGATATAGGAGTTGGAAAGGTTAAACTTTATTGGTAAGAGATATACAGACTGTTTCGCTTGGGCTGTAATTAATTAATTCATTCATTCATTCATTCACAATACCTCATATCTTATATCTTATATCTTATATCTTGAGAGATGATAGACAATTTACCAGAAATAATATATCACTACTCTAAAAGTGTAATGCACATCATTCAATTATTTTGTAACTTTTAAGAAAACAGGTTTGTCATGCGCGGACATTTCAGAAGTACGTGGTAGTAATATGGTCTCAATGCTATCATCACTCATACGTTTAACGACCTTCAATTTGTTTTCATAACATTTTCTTTCAATTTGCAAATTGCAATTTCCGTTTACATGTATATTTCAAATTTATTTCCAGGACCCGCAAGTGTAGAAGCCCTACATATGTCACCTTCAACCACAGAAATTGAAGTCAGCTGGGAAACGTCATCAAGTCCATGCTCCCCTGACTATTATATCATACGCTACAGTCTCTATCAGAAGCTTGCCTGCTCCTCACTAGAAACCACCCCAACAGAGTTTGAAGTGAACTCGAGTGTCACACAATACAATAATCTAGTGGGGTTGGAGCCTTACTCGCGATACCAGATCACCGTTACAGCTGTAAATGGTGCCGGGCAGAGTGAACCCGCGATCGGCTATTCAGATACCAGGCCGGGACGTGAGTAATGAACTAATAAGCAAAATATCCTTTCCCCATAACAGCTTTAAGAAATGTACAAGGTTGTATACTTTGTTATCCGTGTTGTAATTATGAATATTGGATATATCTTACAGAAACAAAGTTGCGATTGGTCCAAAGCTCGTCACGTGATATCGATGTGAGGATCGTAAAAATCCATTTATTACTCAAGGGCTCCGTCTTATAAAGAGTTGCGATTGATTTGGAACAATCGTAAGTCATCCCATCAATCGCAAGTTTGCAGTCTCTTATGTACATCGTTGCGATTGATATCAATAGTAAATAAGTTGCGATTGATATCACCTCTTTATAGACGGGGTCCCGGTCAGCAAAGGATCATTTACCCTCGTGATTACAACTCCCCTCAGCGCTGTTCGCTTCGTGAAAATTTAACCCCTTTTGAAAATATAACTCCCTTCGGTAGTCCAAAAATATTAAATTACACACATACCAGTCAATATATGCATTAGATTCCCTTCATATTGCATACGCATTGGTGTAAAAATATAATTTAAACAAATGTTGCCTTATTCAAATCATTAGAAGTACAGTTTGGTTGCGATGAACATTCCGCTCAACCTTCACGCTAGCCTTACTACGTAAGCGAATAACACGTCAAGTTTTAACGGATTTAGGTACGTTCTCTTATATTTCTGATTCACTTTAGCTACGTCCAACATTACAAATGTCAGGGTTAACCCAGAAAGAACGTCTCCAACACGATTAGGATTCACCTGGCAACCTCTCAACTGTGGAAATGTGAATGGAGTGTTCTGGTACTACTATCCAAGAATCTACAAGGATGGTGATAGACATGAACTACCGGCTAAGAAGACGTACTTGGATGATGACATATCATACTCCTCAGTAGAGTTCAATGGTCTTGAGGCATGCACGATGTATGAACTGAATTTACATGCCCGCAACCGTGACGTGCCAACTCCTGGAAACGTGTCTAATGCTATTGGTGTAACAGGAGTTACTTGTAAGTGTTAAATACCCCCTCCCCCACACAGTGTTATTAAGAGTATGCGTTTGCATGTTGCCTCCCTTTGAAAGCATACCCCTATCTCCGGCGTGAAAGTCAATAGGGGCAGGACTTTGTCACGCGAAAAGTACACCTTTACCAGAGATTTCGGGAACACGCATGCGGTCCCTTTTTGACCCCGGAGTGGGGGGGGGGATAAAATAGTACAACGATAATACTTTTTAGAATCACCTTTCTGATGTCAAATAGAATTGTCATGTATTCTTATTATATGAATTTCGTTTTAAAAGAGCGTATTTTAATAATATTTGTAGGAGAGATCCATATTCCTAATATAGTGATACCAAGGTTTCCTTGGCAACATAATGTCCATATGCATGTACATGTACAACATTATATCTTTGAGACATTTAGGGATTTTCACGGAGGGATTAATATATTTTACCCCCATTACAAAGTGTCGTTTTTTAAATTTTCATTTCTTTAATTTTCAGTCATTAAGTTTTATTGGCGAAGAACTTTTCGAGGAATTTTCATAAAGAATTTCACACATTAAAATATTAGTACGGGGGCGGGTATTCTCGACTTAATATGTAAATATCTTTTTATTTAATATTTAAATACGTCATGCATTATGATTTTATTAATAATTACAATAATCAACGGTGGATCAGATATGGACCCTGTATTGACTAGAGAGTTTACAAATATCATTTTTAAAAAGGGTCCAAGTAGAGGATAACAAAATAAAAACCGATCAAATCCGTTTCTTGTATCACGCTTTGATATCCTATGTTGGATAGAGGTTATTACATTATTTAACTTTAAATAAGAAAAAGGTAAAAACTGTTTCAATGTTTACACACGTAGAAATATATTCAGCTTCATCTTTACCTTATGAGAAAATTAAGCTCGAAAGTCCATTAAAATCTAATACGATGGAGTTGCACGACTAACAAGCGGTTCTCTGTGTAATAGTTATTGGTGGTGTAATGTCACCCTTCTAGAATACAAACCGCTCTCTTCAAATATACTATATTTCGCAATATTACGAATTTACATTTTTTTCTCTCTTTGAATTGAAAAAGTCACAAGTGCATACGCTTATGCAACTGGGAATCAACTAAGAGTTCAGTGGAGTGTTCCGTCTCAATGCAATGTGGATTACTACAGATTATCATATCACCTCATCTCACGTAAGGCATGTCAAGATGTTCCTGTAATAGATGCTCCAGTCTACGAACTCAACGTCACATCAAATACCACATATGTCTCCGAATACCTTTCAGACTTGGAATACTACGCAACTTATAGTATCTCCATCATAGCTGTGATTAGGAGAGCGGAGAGCCTACCTAAGAATGTTAGTGGAGACACACGAGATGGAGGTATGTAAACAATGCTAATACTACCCATAGGAAAGTGAAAAGTATGCCGCAGACCTGCCGCAGATCTGCAGCAGACTTTTAGTCTACGGCAAAGAGTATGCCGAAGTACGCGGCAGAAATAAATTTTGCTGCAGACTTGCCGCATACCAGTTTGCCACAGGAACAGTCTGCGGCAGATCTGCGGCAGATCTGCGGCAGGATGAAACTTTGCTCTAGACTTGCCGCATACTAGTATGCCACAGGAACAGTCTGCGGCAGATCTGCGGCAGGATGAAACTTTGCTCCAGACTTGCTGCATATCAGTATGCGGCAGGAACAGTCTGCGGCAGATCTCCGGCAGGATGAAACTTTGCTCCAGACTCGCTGCATATCGGTATGCCGCAGGAACAGTCTGCGGCAAATCTGCGGCAGGATGCAACTTTGCTCCAGACTTGCCGCATACCAGTATGCCACAGGAACAGTCTGCGGCAAGTCTGCCGCAGGAACAGTCTGCGGCAGGTCTGCCACAGAAAAGTGGGAAATTATACAGTCTGCAGCAAGGCTATAGGCGGCCATTTTGGAGGACCATGCAGGGCCATGAGGTTGCAGGCTGAGCCCATGATCTTGTACATTCCTGTGTTAGCACTGTTAATTGACTTTTTAGCTTCTGTTAAACCAAACAATTTGCTTCAAGTTCTCAGTGGTTACCATAAGAGGAATTTGTTACAGAGGAGACTGAGGTATTAACGGACCGTCACTTTTTTGTTGTAACTAGCACATGCATGGATCTGTGACTCTACTCTGGACTATGTGTATGCAGTTATTGTATTCCTATTCCTCTACCTCTACTTCTGCATTGTGTTTGACCCATATTTGTAGAATTGTTGAAGCAATTCCGCCTGTTTTAGCTGTTTCTACTAATTCAAGGTGCTAGAATGTAATGATGCAATGCATGTTCTCCAGCATAGCCTTCCTGCAAGACTGCATATTTAATTGCCACGTACTGGATATGAAAGAGTATGCGGCAGGTCTGCAGCAGGTCTTTATGAGATATGAATATTCCTGATGAAGAGTCTGCGGCAGGTCTGCAGCAGACTCTTTGTCATAGCCTTTTCTATAAATATACATGATGAAGAGTCTGCGGCAGACCTGCCGCAGAATATTCATCATACTGAAAGAGTATGCGGCAAGTCTGCAGACGCCTGTTGTTGTGCATATCACCCGGGGCTCTTGAGGGGCCCGTGAGGGAGCCGTAGGGTACACGTACGGAACCCTTGAGCACCGCAAGGCGCCCGTAAAGATTTTTCATGAGAATTGACCCCCAAAATCGTGAGGGGCCTGTCCGGGCACCGTCCGGAGCCCGCATGGGACCCGTAAGGTGCCCTACGGATCCTTTACGGGCTTTATACGGCCTAACGGTCAGATAAAAAACGCCGGGAGAATTGAGAGCAGCCAACTCAGCACCACGGCGCCCGTACGGCTTAAAAAACTGTCCCGGCGCACGTAGGAACTTTACGACAACCGGCCGGACACCGGCCGAACATTCCCAAAATGTCTGTTTTTACTCGCCGTACGGGCCCCGGAGTGTATTATGTGAAAGCCCCATAACATTTGTTTTGTTGGTTAATAATTAACTATTCAACGTTTTGATTTTATTCACAGACCCCTCTGCCATCGAGACAGTGTCGTACACCTCTACTGCCAGCTCCTTGCGCTTTGTGTGGGAGGAACCCTCTTGTGAAAGCCTACATGGTGCTTTGTATGGCTATGAATACGATCTCTATGATCCTACTGGTGGGGGAAGATATGTCCGGCCTTCAATGACTATCCGAAGAAACTATGTACTAATACCTGGTCTTGATGCTTGCACAGAATATCGCTTCAGAATAAGAATAGTTACTACCCAGCTGAAAAGGAGTGAATCGCATATGGCAATGGCAATGACTAATATATCAGGTTTGATAAATGAGATATTGGCCTACCGTATATGTGTATTGGTTATAAAAACATGAATTGTGCAATTATTCGGTTGTACACATTGACATTGTGGGCGATTAAAGAAAATTGGTTCTAACGGAAAGCATGGTAAACTGCATGATTCAAATTGCAATTCAAATCGGCTTTAATACAGTCCATCTCTTGACGGTGCTCCAAGATAGGTAAATAGCTTTTACTGCGAGCCTAGTTAAAGGCTCATGAATAATACTAATCTAACATACATCAGAAAAAATAGATGTAATTGAAGTCAATACATATTCTAAAGATAAAGATTAGATTTAGTAAACTCTCAGTGTAATCAATTAATTATCGGGAACCTGAATTCGCTCGAATGAATTGTTTATCCTTCCTTTCTGCACACGTTTCAGCTCCTGGAATGCCAGTTATTACAGAGCTTACCCCGCATCAGGAAGACATAGGCACTACTGGCCTAACAGTATCATGGCAACCTCCTTCCTCACCTCCATGCCAGCCTACACATTATGAAATCAAGTACTATGTTCGTCAAGGCGATATGTGTGAGGATATCCCGAGTGATCCTAGAATGAATTTAACAGGGACCGTCAATGGTTCAACTTTTACCTTCAATGTCCTGGAGTTGCGTCCATACTCTGAGTACATGGTGTTCGTGAGAGGCAGAACCAGTAGCGGTTATGGTGATTCGGATTCCGAAGTAGCTACTACAGGATATTCACGTGAGTATTGTGTGTGGGTGTGTGGGGGCGGGTGAGGGTGTGTGTTTATGGTGTGAGTTTGAGGGTTTGTGTACGGGTATGTATCAATCACATATATTATTTACATCTGGGAAAGATCCTTTACCGTCACCATACGAAAAACCGAAATCACTTTCTAATTGCGGTCCGTCTGAGTCAGTTGTAGGAAAAAGACAGAAAGCTTAAAGTACCGCTACACCAATTATAATCTCAATATCTACTTTGCACGACGCTAGAGTTAGGTCAATTCTTTATTTGACAAATTTGAACAGAAGGAGATTCATAATCTAAACTCGTAGTTGTACGAATACACTTTGAATAAAACCTTGCAAAATATCATGGGAGAATATGTTAAATGAAATAAGCTGGCCTGAAAATTCAGTTTAGAAAAAAACACACAAAGAATTATTTAAAAAATTATACTACAGGGATTAGAGAATGGTTACGAAGACAGAGAACGAGATTATGAACTCGCTGAAAATGTAGATTAGCTGATATTAAAGAAATGTAGATGAGGTAAAAATTGAATACTAAGGAAAATGAATAAGAATGAGTTTTCCTCCTTTATTTTACAGATCCTACTGGTCCTCCAACTAATATTCAGTCCACTTCAATCAAGAAACGCAGTATTGTCTTCACTTGGGAGAAGCCAGAATGTAGTGATCGGAATGGACCAATCTCAAGCTACGAAGTTATGCTCTCCAATTCTACAGGTAACGTAGTAAAACCTAAAGAGGAAAGAGGGAATGAAAACCTTGTCGAGGACTAAAAGCGGTTGTCTAGCTTTCTCCCTTGTCTATATAGTAAATATTTCTCACCTTTAAAAAAAAAATTCTTATCATTATTGTAAGTTCTTAGTTTGCTGTAAGTTTTCCTTACTTCTGTACTATCTATTTTCATGTTTTCAATGTCTATAGGGACCCCTCTGTAAAGCAGCATTGTTATGCTAACAACGCTGAGTAGAGCCATCCCTCCGTCTTCCTTTTTATAAGTGTGTCTTCATGATTGTTAATGTATATTTGTTGATGTTTTTTAAATGACGGAAAATAAATACAATATAATACAATATAACCTTAGGTGTAGAAGAGTCCATACAATTTTGTTCGATACAATTTTCAGCTTTCCTTCAAAAAACATGTAACCTAGCTACTTTATGTCTTCGAGGGACTAGTTTCATACTCCTGAGTAAAATTGACGCTTGATGTTTCGTAGAGGTTTTGTAGTAGTCTAATGGATAAGTCGCCAGACTGTAGACCACAAGGTACGGGGTTCAAATCTCAGCACGGCACTAATGTACTTTAGCAAGACGTTACTTTTGCCACTTTCAACACAATTGTAAATGTATCTGATATGCCTGAGCGCTAGTTACTTTGGCGGCTCGGCTATAAGCAGGATAATATTGTATAAGGGCCATCATTATTCCTGTTGTTCATTTCCAGGAGACGTGGTTTATCATGGTAATGCCTCAGCTAGCGCAGGACCTGAGCTATTTGAGATATTTGACCTCATCCCCTATTCGATCTACAGGATTAGGATCAGAGCTTGGAACTATGAACTAGCAGGGGAGTATGGTCCAGCGATTTGGGCACAGACAGATGAATCAAGTAGGTCTCAAAATGCATGTCTTCTAGTTCTATTTTGATAACGACGAAAATTATATATATTTCCAATATATATTTGTTTACAATGTCAACGGTGTATCTACAGAACCAGAAATACAACTCTGATAAAAATCATTTTGTAATCAACAGTTTGGAATTGATCATATACAGGAACTAATGTCATGCGAACATGTACTTGTACAAATCTTTAATTTGTTTTGTTGTTACATTATTCGCCCTTTTTTGTATTCCCTCCTCTTTCAAAATCAATGGAAACCTAATTAAGTATTTATTTCCAGTCATAAATAAGACGTAATGGAGTAATCTTGAATTCTAGATTTCGTGCACCCAAAACCCTCATTGACAGCTGTCCAGGATGGGTTACTGATTCTGAGTGTGCTTGTGTACAATATGCGAGTGAAAGAAGACAATATTATTGCTTCGAAATATTTTGCTCCTTTCAAAAGCACAGTAAAAGTTATAATTATTTAATGTTTTTAACATTGCTCGTTGAATTCTATCTTCCGCCAACATTGCTAGTCAGTGGATTCTCTTTAGGAATTTTCGACAGAAAACGAAACATCTATTTTATACTTTTTCCAACGTGTCAGTGATAGATCATTGAGTTGTTTCGTTCATAATTATCCTACGAATTTTCTCTATGATATGTACATTAAAGAGCCAGCGCCACCAATCGGAGTAAATCTGCCATCTTCCGACCAGGAGAGCATCACAGTAGAATGGATGTCACCCAACCCTCCTCTGGGCAGGATAATAGGTTACTACATTCTCTACTGGGAGGCGGATGATGTTGGTGCCACTCCTCAGACCTTCGGCATCGAGTGTCGGGACGGGCTGTGCTCTGACATTAACTACAGGTTTTCCACAATTATTCCCCATCTCCAGCGGGACACAAATTATTCCGTTCAGGCAAGTGTGATTCTTGCAGGCGTTTTGTTAATGGATTCTGTATATTAATAATAAGATGTACATTATTTTTTCATTAATAATATGATAACGAACTCAAGGTTTAAAATAGTATCCATCCGTAAAATGTGTTGTGAAGATACTACTAAAAGACGTAAAGCTTCACGATATTAAAGACAGCTCATTATAGAACTTAACGGATGTCTTTCAAAGGATGACGCGGGATAGAACAAGGAGAAGCGAATTGTAGGTTTGCCGACCTTTCTAATGGAATATGAAAAAAGAAAAGAAATATGAGTATGGTGAAGAAAAAAAAATTACACCATCGTGGTATCTATATTCTTTCTGATGAAATGCTTTTATAATAAACCTTTCATGTTAAATAAAAAAAAGTCAGGAGGTCCATATCTTCTCCTTCCATCCATTCAAGGTCAATCTCTAAATTGTCCATAATTTATTCTACTCTGTAAGTCGTTTCCCGTTCTACATCTCTCTTTTCTATCACCATGTTTTTCTTCCATTATACAGGTCATGGCGGAAACCATTCTAGGTTTTGGTAGCCCAAGCCCGGACCCACCCGTTGTCAGGATTACATCAGAAGGAAGTACGATATTCATTTTCTCATTTCTATGATGTCCCATGTAGATCAAAATAATTATTGTAGAGATATTATCACCCCATTCAAAAAGGGAGAAAAAGAAAAAAACGTTGAGTAACATGGTAACACAAACTATATAAACATCACATGTTCATTTAACACAATCGCAGAGACTTTTAAGAAATCAACTCAAGGGCGATTTCAATACCGTATATCGTATTGGCTATGTAAAAGACATCGTCAGATTACGTAATAACGCCGTTGAAAACTTCGCACACTTTATTAGATGAGCCACAAGGCTATTGAAACTGCCTTATGTCAATAATTTAAAGATTTTTCGATGATAATGATAGTAATAATATGTCTTATTTACCCAGGGTAGCCTCATTTAAGTGTTTAAACTGTTCTCCCTGAGGGCCCTGGAATCATGTCATTACCCCCCCCCCCCCCCCCCCCCGGCTTTAGCCGAGCTACCATGAAAAGGTGCGCAAGCATTGCAGGAATGTCTTCCTACTGGGCACCCATTCACCTCACCTGGGTGGAGTGTGGCAAATGTAGATTAATATCTCGCCAAAAGACTTGTTAATAGATGGAAGTGTGCATGTACATGATGTAACTAATCATGAGTGTTTGTTTGGACATCAAGAGATCCCATAATCCCCGAGTATTATCCAGTTATCAGTTAAGTGTATGCAAGGAATGACTGCATGGCTACCTACAAATAAAGGATGACGAATCTTATCACCATATATTGCAAAAGTGATCAATAGATGTAGTTTTGATCTCAAACTGAACCTCTCATTCAAATGACACGAATCTACAGTAGATGTTAAATCACTGATATTCCCTTCATAAATACAGCGCTAAATAATGCAAAGAGAGAGAGAGAGAGAAAGAGAAACAAAAATATTTTGTCAATGCTATAATTTTTGAGAAGCTTCTACCCTTAAACAAGAAAATCGTATACAAATACTGACTTGTATTGTACTTTATAAATAATCTTATTTCCTGCTTTACAGTTCCTAGTGAGCCCCAGGAGGTGGCTGTTTCCAGCAGATCAAAATCTTTGCTGATTACCTGGAAGGAGCCGAGGTACCCCCGAGGAAAAATATCCTATACGGTAACCTCAAAACTAAAATTCAAACGAAGATCTAATGATGGTTTCTGTGTATCCGAACTGTATGTAATTATTGTTCTAACATTCTCTCTGGAGTTCTCTTCTTTATCAACTATTGTTTTCTTCTAAAATAAGTTACCAGTATTTTCTGTTTGATTAATGCAAAACGTGAACTATTATGGATCATTGAATGAAAAAGAACTTCTAAACTAGTACTGCTGCGAAAATTTTCGGCAATATGTCGCCGAATGGTTTCATCCGATTGCTGAAATAGGATCGAAATCTTGATGTATAATTATATTTAAACAATTTCTAAAGGAAACATGTTTTTGTTTAAATATATGAACAAGAAGGAGTAAATTCATGACCAAACTGTTCATTTCTATGCTGAAGTATGGGTAGAATTGTGGCTTTTGTCCAACCAATATTTTCAGATGAGCCAAATAAGTTTCTCAGTGGAGTTTACCAGTTGGCGATTCAAGTCTCAATAACAAAACTCTTTTGGACTCCCCCCCCCCCCCCCCCCATAATTTTTGTTTCGGTCGCTCCCTTTCTCTCTCTCTCTCACACCTTTAAAAAAAATCTTTCTCTCTAGCTGGCTTACAAAGTAAAAGGAAAGCCATACGACAGATCATTCCAGCCAGGAGATTCATTTACAGTGAAAGAGGTAGCGGGAGACTATTCGAGCTTTGTACTTGATGATCTGGAGCCAGCTACACTCTATGAGGTCTACGTGGTAGCGTCCACTAGCAAAGGGGAGGGAGAGTCTAGTCAGCATGTTGAAGAATTTACGGAACCTCCTGCAGGTATTGGAAGAAACATGTTGGAAGTTGGAAGTTTGGAGACATGACCATACTTTAAAAGGGATCATACTTTTGTGAAAGGGGAGTGTCAAAATTGTCGTAAAGGTCAAATACTATTGTAAATTTACATGATAAAAAAGTAACAAAAAGAATACGATTGTAAATGGTTTTATCTCCATCTTTCTTGACAATGAAGTTGACGACAATTGGACAAACCCGTTAACACTAAACTTGTCTTTGCATGCATGTTATCATAAGTTTGATGGGTGTTTATCTCTGACCACAGACCCCAATGTTTAACCATTTCAAATCTCTATGACACCTCCCATCAAATTATTTAAAAACACTGCTTACACGATTCTTTATAAATCGAGATGATGGGGTACGATTTACAGCAGGGACAACAAGTCCAGGAGCCACGTGGTAGATAGAAGGACTTTACTGCAACCGTCTTCTACTTTAAAAACAAATTAGTACCATTAATATCGAACTTTTATTGCTAACATATGCAGGATACAAGTTCTAACCGACGTGTACGGCTGTGGTCAAGAGATAATTAGAATTTTCTTACTAGTCTTGCAGGTTTACTTAACGTGTGAAACTCTAAACAGAGAATATTTTTTATTTTAATATTGGATAAAAGTCATCGTTCAATGATGTTTAAGTTTGATGTTGAAATCTCTTTTTTGTAACGTGCCATAGCTGACGAGCTTCCAAAGCCCAACCCACCAGTGATAGTGTCTTCACCTGACGGTTCGCCTACCATTCAGTTTAGCGATGTGCTTGAATCTCCATATATAACGTAAGTATATAGCTACATATTCCAAGCGATGATTTTTTACCTTTAATGATATAAATCTTTGAATCATGTGTATGTGAATAATTAGGCCAGCGCTTAGAAACAGTAGTAATAATCGCTATATAGATGCTATTACGTTATTTTCATCGTTATTATTATTATCATAATTGAAATTATTATTATTACCAATGATACCATCATCGTCATTTTTATTTTATCGTTGTACCAATGTCTGTCTTTCTAGCGCACTGCTCTTGATCTGCGCAATGCTTTTTTTTAAAGGGAGAAGCCGGGAATACATTTAGTGGGCCAACGGGTTTCACTCCTGTTTTTGAGACAAGACGGATGGCCATTTCTAACGTCAGTGTGAATCCTCATTCCTCCTATATTTTCATCAAAGACTACCTCTCACAACTTTTTTAATGTACGAGCCCTTGGTAAATTAAAGACGCTGTAGCATGACGAGGCTATGTTTCTTTCCCGTGGCCCTTCGGGGCCAATCGGACGACTACGGATGACGCGACATACGCGAAACCGAGGCGTGAGGAGAACTTCAGTCTGTTTCGCGCCCTTTCGCGAACACTAGCGCGCTGACTCAGTTAATCACTGACCTCTACCTCAGTGCAGTTAATCAAGTCCATTCGTTTTTACTTGCAGTTTTCCAAAAGAAGACGTAGATGGCGTCAACCAGTATTTCCCATGCTACAGCCCCTCTAATTGGTATATTGGTAAATTCATTCATTCATAAATTGTGAATGCTACTTTACATCAAGAAGTAATATTACATTTGGTCTGCGACTCAGTCATGTCAAAAGGGTATAATTATGACAAATATCCCTTTGAACTCTCAGGCACATACTTGTTGCTGTTGAAGAGAGAATTCCGGTAACAAGGCGCCGACGTCAAAAGGCAGCGTATGGATCCTATGCCGAGAATCCTTCCTCATACATAGCAGCTAACATCAGCAAAGATGATCTTCCGATAGAGCTAACTATAGGGGATAACGAGACTTATGGACATTACCACAATGCACCCCTCAGAGACAAGGCGATATATGATGTACGAACAGGTGTTGAGAGCAACGTTGGAGGACAGGTACGATTTTTCGTTGGACGTAAATGTCCCAAGTGACTGTCGGCCTACCCGATGTAGTGGCCTACGGTTTCGTGGCCTACGATTTCGTAGCATTATTATATTGTGGAAATAATGTTTAGGTGCAAATATCGGTGAAAATGCCTAGGTCACATTTGCGGCGGCGGCCGTGCAGTCTAAAATATCTACGGCCAATAGCAATTATAGGACCGCCGCAGCATTCCCACGGTCACATACGGTGGCGGTCACATTATTATGTTTAGGTAGCCGCACGGCGTATTTTGAATATGTGGAGACAGAAAATCTGCGACTGCCGTACGGCCTTTGAAGTGATGACGCAAGGTCGCCTTAGGGCGTCCCTGCGGCGGCCGTAGCTTTTTGACATATACTAAGGCAGACGCAATGTAGCCGCAAGGTGCCCGCAAGGCGGCCGGAGGGGGACCATACGGCTACTGTGCGTCATCACTTCAAAGGCTGTACGGCAGCCTCAGATTTTCGGTCTCCGCAAATTCAAAATACGCCGTGCGGCTACCTAACATATATGACCGTGGGAAAGCTGCGGCAGTCCTATAATTGTTATTGGCCGTATATATTTTAGACCGCACGGCCGCCGCCGCAAATGTGACCTAGGCATTAGGAACAATCATGAGGGGCGTAAGAATTTGAGGTTGCGTCGTGTGTAACTGAAATTGTGATCATTGTCTAATTAAATTTTGCTTTTACACTAATTCTACATATCAGAAATATGCAACGTGCGGTTTTTGTGGAAAAAAACACAACAACACATTATGGATCAAAGAATTCAAGTGTTATAGGTTAGCCTTTTAGAGAATAACAGTATTCTGTAAAGATTCGTGCTACATAATTTGATGGACCATTAAAGATAAGCAAGGTTTTTAAACTTAAAGAGGAATTAACCTCGCGACTATGATTCATTATCATGACATGGAGAGTAAAACAATGTTTCATTTGATATAAAAAGCATTGCTGTAGGCCAAATAATAGCGTCTTGCAAGTCCAATAAAGGGACCCTAATTCGCCATATTTCAGACGTCGTCTGCTGCCCAAGGAAGCTGCCATCGTGTCGAAATTTCCCTTCCACAACTTCCGGGTTGTGACGTATCGCACGGAGAACTGATGTAGCGCGGCGCGCGTGTTAAATGCAATATGCGTCAAACATAGTGTACTGCCAAGAGTTTGGGTGTAATAATTGTTCCAGTGTAATTGTTCCTGGAAACCAGGGGAAAATCGTTTCGTCGATTTCCAGACCCACACAATCGCAATGAGATTTTCAAGCTATAACAGCTCTGAAGGTGGAACAATTTTTGTATAAAAAGTACAAGTACGACAGGAAAGACGATGTGATCTGCAGTGATCATTTTATAGTGCACAGCAGGGAAACCTACGTACGCAATATCGGTCGACTCCATGCGAAACGTCACAGAACGGGCCGCGCGGAAGCACAATGACGACGTACTTCAAGTTTCCAGAGCCGCGAAAGACGAAGGATTCTGAAGAAGAGTTACGTCCTCCCTTTCGTCAAAATGTATGTTTTTTATTTTTCAGATAATGTTTTTAATGACCTACAAACTGGAATTTACATGCAGTTTGAGGTTAATTCCCCTCAAATCGCCGTTATGAATTCAAAACAATTGAGAGTGGGCTAACTACCAGTCAAAACCTAAGTTCACGTGGAAGTGCAGAATATTTGGCCATTGTATGTATATCGTAGAAGCGTTAAAATGTGCTATGCGCTTCACTGGTACAGAAAAGGTTCTACTAAACTTCCTTAAAACTGCCACTAGATAAATACACGAACATTTCATTTAAAAAACATTATGAGCTAATTTCTTGATTACCTTTTATTTAGAAATCCACCCTTTTCGGAGATCCAGCTGAAGTACAGCCAGGTAGGAACGCATATTTTATTAGATTCTTGAACATTTGTAGTTTGAAAGTGCTTTAGCTTTTGAATGGATATTGGCCTACGATTTAACAGATATGGCACATTTCCATTACTTAAACGTTTAAATTCTTTTTCCGAACTTACGGATCTCTTCACTACGTTCAATATCACTGCTCTCAATATCACAATTAACTACGAATAAGTAAGCATACATTGTTAATTAATACCTAACCAAAAATTGTTCTCTACGATCCGGAAATGAAAGCGGTAAATGCAGTCAAAATTCATTGAGCAGATTTCTCGAAGTTAATGACTTTTGCCCAAGATTCCTGATTTGCATCAATTTTGGATCCAAGGTCTGGCTTAGTAATGAATATCTATACGACTATAGCTATGTTTTAAAAGCAAAAGTTTCTAAAGCTTGGTCGCTTTGCTCATCGCGTATGTTCACAATATAAGATATCAATTTGTATACAGTACTCTCTCAAGAGTTCTAGATATTTTACAATGCAAATGCCTTTGCGTGCTCCCTATTTCATGATTTTTGTTAAACATATATATAAGGCAAAGGGGAAATGCAAAACCGTATAAAGTGATTTGTAATGGTTCAAAATTCAAAAGAAATTGAGCTATTTTTGCCCTTATCCCTCGATACGCCACCGAATACGACATTTTTTTTTTATAGATGATTTGACAAGAGAGTCCAATTAATAAAACACGTATCGAATCATGAGTTTGTCCTGGTGAACTTTTACCCTATGTAGTGTTCTGTAGGCCCGGGAGCGCATATTTTATTTTACACAACTGTTTAGCCATTTTCGCGAAAACAATCCTAGAAATGGTCTGGTGAAAGAGTCTAAGTCGTCAGCGCACAGGTACACCCAGCGCATACACCCAGGGAAGGGCAGATGATAGGAAAGGGAAAACAAGAGGAGTGGAATAGATATGGAGAAGGAAAAACAAGGAAATACATAAGGAAAGAGAAGAGGATAAGGCAAAGGAAGAACATAGAAAAACATAACGGAACAGCTAAGAGGATTATAGATTCGGGTATAGACTATAAGGAAAAACAAATTATAGATGACGAAGGAGAAAAGGATAGATTGAAGTAGAAACAAAGAATTACATCAAACAAAAGAGAAGAGGATAGAATAAAGGAAAACAAAAGAAATACATAACGATCGATTGAAGGAAAAACAAAGAAAAAAAACCATAACGAAGGAGAAAAGAATAGATTGAATGATAGCTTCAGCAATCCCAAGATACTGCTAAGTATATTTGACTGAACTGGCTAAACAGTTGTGATACAAAAATATGCGCGGCCCAGGAAGACCAATGGCCTACTACTTTTGTTGTTATGGTCGTTATAACGGAGAGCCTTACGTTACCCTTACGATGAGATTATAATTATAAGAGAATTTTTTTTCAATATCCGTAATGATTACCTCTATTTATTTATTTTTGCTAGTAGCCAACCTATTGGGAACGGTTTGATTGCATGCAATTACAATTAATTATGATCATCTGGTAGTATCTGATTTATTTATCACTTATCTATCAACTCTGATGCTACCTTGATATGTTTAACACCTGTCTTTTCTTTTCACTACCATCCGTCTTCCAACAACATCCTCTTCACCTATTGTCTCTTCTCCATCAAAATCAGCTTCAGCTGGAGTCCCTTCAGGTTCCATAGCAAGCATCGTAGGAAGCGCTGTTGGTGTTATTCTTGTGATTGTTATCCTTATAATTCTCATCATCATCTTTTACAAGCGAAGAAGGTTAGAGAGATACCTTGTGCTTAACTTGTCCCTCTCATCAGTCCATTTTCATCGAGATCCTCCATGCAAGATGCTAAAACCGTATGGCCATGAAAATACAAATCTAAATATGATTGTATTAAAAACATAAAGGCCTATATATAAAGTTATATTGTTGCCTTTTTTGTCTTCAATGCTATTGAATGGAAATATTCTAAAGCATAACTCTTTTAGAATGTTATGGCAATCCGCTTGAAAAGGCCTATTATGTTAATGATATGCATTTTAGAATTACCATACCACTTACCACATTTAATGTTGACATGTTTTTGTATGTCTATTTATTGGGAATTGATCATTTGTTTAATTATGTATTTCATCAAGGCAATTTATGTATGCTTTCATAATATTAACTTTCAGCGATGAATCAGCCCCTACTAGGTCTAAAGGGAAGGAGTCCGATTCGTCTCCGCAGTATGAGAACCCTGTATTTGATCCGTCAAAGACAGACGTCCATAACTACCAAGACCTGCACACTGACATTCATAACTACCAAGATGTTAATACCGATGCCAAGAGCTACGGTAATCTTGCTGACCCTCAGACCGACCAAGACCTAAAGGTACCTGATCAAGAAGCTATATACGAAGACATAAATACAGAATATGTCAACGTGCTCAAGAAGAATTGAATACATTAGAAGAAGGAAGATCCAAGTCAATCGCAATGATTTTGAGTCATCAAGAATTTAAAAAAATTAAGAGGGATAACATATTTTCAGTCTTAATTTATTACAAATATATTTTCATGTATCAATCATTTCATCAAGTAGAAACCATACTTAAAATCTTATCACGAAATATTAAAGATTATCTTAATAGCTGAAAGAAAAACTATTCTGATGGACTTGGGCGTTTTTCTTCATGTATTCCATTAGAATACCATGATGAAAAGTTGTCAAAAACTATCATGGCTTCCTGTCCTTCGTCCTGTGCTTCTCTTTCTTTGTTTATTTACACCTTGTCTACTCGCGTTATTCCCAAATCTTTTGATATCGGGGATCACTCGAAATGTTCCCTTTTGAATAACATGATTCGCACAAGTCTGACAAATTTGGGTAAAAATAGTTGTAGATCTTAGGTACCACACTACATGAAAGTCAGGGTATGGGATGAGTTTCTTTAAATGTACATATTTATATATACTTATCCTCGTTCATGGAAGTTTGTTTTCTACTTTAATTTCCTGAATAATGTGAATGTTGTATAGGAACGCATGAATTTTACATCATGGAGCAAGAAAGATAATTCTATTTTCGATTTTTTTTTTCTTCTCCCTTCTTTATCATCTGCTGAGATTTCTGATGAAAACGATTTTAGAAATATAATATATGTTTTTGAATTATTCAATGCAGGTACAAGTATAAAGGGAAACCTATTCAGTCATGTATATATACGTGAAATACAAGGCATGTTCCATCATGTTAATCGTGTTTTGAGGAAGGCTATCAGTAGGAAAATACAATATTCCGCTGTATGTTTTGTCTGCATGGATTACTAGTGTTAACGCCTGCTATTTCTGGTGTAAAGCATTATTACCCCATTGTTTGACAAGAATGAATAAATTATCAATTATTATTATTGTCATTATTCTTATCACTATTATCATTAGGCCTATTATTATTATTGTTATCATCGTTATCATTATCATTATTATTACTATTTCTACTTCTACTATACTTCTACAGTGGAATTCAATTTGATAAATAGGTCAACGATAATGTGATAGAATGTGAACGATGAAAAACGAAAATATAAGTTGTGAATAAGTTGTGAATATAAACATAAACTACGCATCATAACATTTTGTGAAAGCTTTGTGTCATGTAATGGTGGATGTTTAGGAAAAAAAATGTAGATAGTAGAATTAGAAGTTAATTAGTAGAGTTAGATAATGCAATTAGTAAAGTTAGATAATGCAATCTAAATCAAAATTTATATATTTCCATATGAGCAGGAAATGTGTAGCACATATTAAATGTGAATACTGATAACTAAACGTGTAGAACACACAATATGTAACCCTTAAAGAAGTGTAAACAATAAAGAATACAACAAAAATATAGAGTTATTTTGTTTGGTGTAAGCTCGTCAATAATCACTTTGAACGTTTCTCAACTAAAATTAATCCGTCTGATTATTAAGGCAGTTTGGAATTTGGCAGACTGAGCTAACAGTCCGCCAAATACCAGCCAGATTACTTTGCGGTAACAATTAATACAACAAAAAAGTGCATTAAAGATAAAGTTGAATTCTGGTCATGCGATTGCATTGTGAAAGAAAAGGTGTGGAATGGATTAGAAAAAAATGATCAGGTAGTATGTAAGTATTGGTGTGTACTGCAAGGTTCTGGAATCATCAAAATCATAATAAATTTTATGGCGGATGATAGTGTTGTTGAAAAGTAAATGTCAGGCTGATTTGTATTTACAGAATTTTAATTGATGTTGTACTGCAAATTGTAAACACCGCGCCATCACACGTCATTTGTAGATCTTCATTCAGTCATACCATTTAATCACCATGGCTTAGCAAAGTTTGCCCCAAAAATCCAACAGAGAGGGCAGTTTAATACTCATCTTTCTGGGGCCCGTTCTTCGCTACCAACGACGTGACAGTCACAACTTGATATGCTACGGAAATGTCTCTGATCTTCCTAAACCGTTTCAAAAAAGCTCCCTAGCTAAACATCTCATGATAACGATACTATTGGCGGGAAGAGGAGCCTAGCCTTTGTTTTTGAGATGGGTCCCCTCAAATATTTTCATTTGATAGCTTAAGAAAAATACAACTTTATAATTTTCGTAGTAAGAATACGATGCCATAATAGTTGTGGCCGATGTTTAAGGCTTCAACAAAATAGTAAAATGACAACAATTTAGTTTTAGTTCAGGTTTCAGTTTTAGTTTTATTTCATATATATTTCACATTCAGGGTTGCTCACGTTTTATGAGTTGAAACATAAACTTAAGACTTTTTTTATATGTTTTAAACTATTTATTTTATACATTTGGAGATCTTGACATTGATATGGGTCTGAAAACTAGAAAATATACTTCTGACTATGGTTTGCCTGCCGTAGCAGATTAACCCTCCCTTCGAGGATTTACCGTTTCCAAAGAAAGAGTTGTAGAAAACTTTAACATGTAAACGTTAGCTCAACCGTTGG